CTATATATGTAATATCAAAGCAATTGGACTTGCGGTTTTCAACAAGAAGTCGAAAATATCACTTTTTACCAAAAATGACAAAAATATTCACCAAAATTAGAGAATTAAAGATATCATTACAAAATGAACAAATCTGAGAGAGGTCCACATGTAGTACCTATATATGTAATATCAAAGCAATTGCACTTGCGGTTTTCAACAAGAAGTCGAAAATATCACTTTTTACTAAAAATGACAAAAATATTCACCAAAATTAGAGAATTGAAGATATCATCATGAAATGAACAAATCTGAGAGAGGTCCACATGTAGTACCTGTATATGTAATTTCTTTTGTAATCACTCATATGATAAGCTCCGCTCGACAAAGTCGACAGCGGAGCTAAATATATACTAGCAATTTTCTATTAATGGGCAAAATATAATGTACAGAAAGATTGCCTGTAAAGTATCGCTACACTGAAAAGTAAGCAACCGACAGCCAGTATAAAAGGGGGCAGTGATTGGCTGTTACTTACACGAGATTTGAACTGGACTTACATAGGCGTCGAATCAGATGTATGTGGGGCGGAATAAAAAAAAAATCAAAGTAAAATAATAAAATAAAAAGACAATAATAACAAAAGTAATAAAAAATAAAATTAAAATAAGTTTATAGCCAAAATAAGTAAAGCCCGTACACTACATCAAATTTTAATCAAATTGATTTTAAAGTGCCTGTGCAATACCCACCCACACGTTTCTCATTTTAGATCTGTGCCCCACTGAAATGGGCAGTTATTGATTTTTTTGCTGAAAATGATTACTTGTATCCATGTAAATTTGAGATATTTCCCGTGCTTTAGCCACGCCTACCTATCCTGAAACGGTTGACTGTTTCCGGATTTCCGACTCTCGCCGAAAGTGCGCCACCAAATGCTAAAATATGAGAGAAGCAACATACTATTAAACGATATACATTTTTTGATCGGTGTTTCTTTTTTTTTTTGTCTATTTTATTTTTGAGAGAGAATTTTTATGAACATTTATGATGGTTAAACGTTGTGTTGTGGGTGGTTGCAGTAATGTGTATATTCATAGTGTAAGTATTTACACGTTTCTTTCCGAAGGTGCGAAATCGGTGGACGAACGCCGTGAAAATAACGAGAAAAGGTTGGGGTGGACTTGCTCCTCTCTACAGCGTCAAATGTAGTGTCCACTTCACCTCAGATTTTTTTTTTCATGACAAAACAACTAGGTTTTAACTTGAAACGCCAACAACTTAAACCAGGCGCAATACAAAACGTTTAAAAAAAAAATAGATTCCGGAGCAGTCCATGATCACTGAGGCGGATTTCAAAAGGGAGACAGACGCCGGGTAAAAGTGTTTCAAATGATTTGACTTTTTTTGCGATCATGATTATCGCTTTATAGAGACCACCCGTGTTATGTAAAAGGTAGCAGTAATTTTGATAATGACACAAAAACGAAGCGTCGGACAAACAAGAAATTACAAAGCCCTGTTTTCATTTTTGCAGGCTAAAAGTGTCCGAATTGTTTGGTGATTGGTGTTGAATGTCGAATTCACACCTTTGTTGCTTTTACTTGCAGCTTGATCTGCATAATAATTTATGGAAAAAGAATCCGGGCTTGGACTGTCAATGTGTTTCCAACAAGTGATTCTTTAATATGATGTCATAATTAAGAAAATCACGCTAAATCCACTCTGAATTTGTCTGTATGCGAGTCGCTCTCAATTATTTTTGTTATCTAATTAAACGCCGCCATTCACGCACTTGTCCCCGTCATGACCCGACACGTTCACCCATCACAACAAATTTATTTCAATGCGGCTGTCATTTATTTAATAACTGTGATTTGTCGTTTTTTTTTAATTATTTCTCTATTTTATTGATAATTATAATTTAATGTTTAGAATGTCAAAATATGTTCTCTTTTTATTATAATTTTAAATGTTTTTTTTTACTCAGACGATCGTTGAAATAAAACAGTGTAGTGACATGCCTAGTAACCTGCTAAATATTAAGACGATTCAGGCATCAAATTCGATTTTGTGCCGGAGTCCAGCGACAGTGTACAAACATGCGCCGGTGACGGTGACAACCACGGTGACCAGCTACACCAGACCGAACATATTTCGCATCTGACTCAACCCCATGCAACAAACTTGAGACTAACGTGTTCATTATGGTCCATTCTTACTCGACGAACAAGTACATAAGTGGCAATTTAGTCAAAGATGAGAAAATTGCACAAGAAATTCGCCTTATTTACACGTATCGACAATGCCAGCTACCCAGCATCTTCCCCTTCTGACGTCACAAGGGGAATTTCTGTATGCAAATGAGAAGCTAATGAGGAGCCTCGTTTTGCTGTAGACTGAGTTTAAAACGCATTTTTTTCACTTAAAAAAATAATTTATGCTTAGAAACATAAAAATTAATAATATTTATGTATCAATGGATAATTTTAGGCGTGAAAATAGCAGCCATTTCACAGGCACTTTAAGTCTAACTGTACACGGAAGTGTGAATTTGTTATTACTCTAAATATCCAAACTTATTTTAGTATAAGGTAGTAAAAACTGTTTGATAAGGTTGCCAAAGTTACTATGGTAACCACCAATGAAGACAGTACAGTTATGGGAGGAAAGAGTCCTTGGATTGATTGCACATTGTGGTAGTGAGCATCTAAGTGGAACAGTCTAGCCACCATTCCACACATGTCTGACCAAGACAATTTAATCGTGACAAGACTAAAGGCAACATTTAACTATCATCCCATGCAATTTACTAATAACCTTTCTACTATCTATGACTCCATCTCACAATGACACACTTTATTACAAAACAAAAATGTGCAATCATGCCAAAAGAATACCAAGGGAAAAGCTTCACTGAATTTGTTTTCCACATCAAATGTACTTTTCCTTCAATGATTCAGATAGAATCATTATCAAATTCAGAGCGAACTGTTATTATCAAGCAACACTTATTAAGAAAAAGACATAAGAAAATACTCTGAATAAGGTATTAGGTTAGTTGATAATTCAACCTTTGACCTTCATTTCATGTGATTACTGGGGTAAATAAAGTACACCTTTCAGCAATATTAATCTATTAACTGTAGTAGTGTTCACGCTACACGAAGTACCGGCTAAGATTTAAGCTGATTTAGACTTATCTCACATGTTTGCATTTTGGCTAGACCCAATTGCGCCCACGCACTTGGAGGGCCAGTCCTTAGCACAGGCTAAAGGGCGCCATCAGTAAGTGATCTCTGTTAAGCCGTTGTTTACGAACACAAAATGTTTCGTTCTAATTTTGAAGCGATGTGCACAGGAACGCGAGAGAAGACGGACCAACTTATTTGGATGCACATAACTCAGGCGGATCTTGGCTCTTGTTCAGCCCGATCATGTAAACACAATGGAGATAATCTCCTGTTAATCAGTGGGAGAAGCAGAAGTTCGGCTTTGAAATAGAATGCTGTTGTGTAAATGTAGCAATTATTTTATACAATGATTTATTGTTTTTACATGATTGGCTACAAATAAAGAAAATAATTTTACTTTTGATTTACAGAAATAAATGCCTGTCAAAAAAATACGCGAGTAATAATAATATTAAGCAGACAAAATGTGTAAGAGTGTCCTACCTTTTTTAGGTGTCCATCTTGATTTCCTGTAAATATAACTGTATGACCTGAATGGGACACTGCAGCTACAGCGGTTATCAAGGAATCACTGCTTGTATAGCAAGGTGTCGCAGTTATATTCTTGGTTCCACATGTTATCTTGCCAAAGTCACGACATGCACACAAATCAACACCAATAACATCATCCTAATAAAATAACAACAACCAAGTTGATATAAAACAAGCATCATGTATCCATAACCTATTGCTTATAAAACATGAACACATTCAATCCATTTCTTCATACATTTTAATTACACACTTTTAAATTAAATTCTATGAAAATAGTCATTCTTGAATGGCCTTGAGTTATACACCATTTACTACTGTATGTTGCAATGCTCAAAAACCATTTTATTTAATTGAACCCACCCTGACAGCAGTTACATCCATGTTACGATTGAATAGTAAAACTAGTTAAACAGATTTGTCATATTTATAACATTTAATTAGAATATCGTTGTTTTACTTACCAGCCAGGTATTGCCACATAAATCTTCCAAAGCAGTAGAAGACCAGGCACACCCAGTTGGTTGATTTGGATCCGATGCACATATGTCAAGCCACTCTAAATACTTTTCCCGTATTTTTTTGATGGAGTAAATACAGACTGCTGATTTGTCTGTTGGTATTTTTGATGTTTGATCTGCTTTAGCAAATGACACTACTACGATATCTTTATTGTCATTGTCATTTAAATTCATAACTTCTGCAAGATCATCTCCAGCTTGAGTCACAAATGCTGACTGGGCTAAATTGTAATCAACGCCATCACTGCCTGTACATGTCAATGGTAAATCAATATATGTTTCCTTATACTTGCTACAACTTTGGCAAATTTGAACTATTTTTGTAACAAATGGTCCACTAGTTATGGTGTCTACCTTGGGCTGTACGGACACATAATACGTAAAACCATTGCTTTCAAATACACTAATATAATCAATGTTAAAGTCAGAATAAACTCCAAAGAAATCTGCTTTTACTTGTACAAATCCAGCATTTCCCGTTTCATCCTTCAGTATAGTAAATGGATCCTCATTGTTACTAGATGGAAGTAGACGACTAGAAAGAAGAATCCATTGAGCCTCATCAGGGACAACACTTCTACCAACATACAACACATTTGGACCAACTCCAGTATTGTCATTATTTGGACCATGAGCTATTATTGCCACTGTAGATCCATCTGTAGTTGTTGCTACCTGTCTATAATACCACTTTATCAAAGTCAAAGTATCCATATCTCTTGTTTCACAAGATCCTCTGTACACATTTCCACAGGTTATCAACTGACTATTATCTGTATCAATGACTAAAATCTTATTGATATTATTTGTTGAAACAAGTGTGGAATCACACTGCACAAAATCTGGTGGTATACAATTTTGATTGTCATCTCTCGGACCTGTTGACTCAATTTCTTCCGTCTCCAAGTCACTGGTCAATTTATAAAGTCTATTTACCGATCCCACATACAAACGACCATTATTAGGATCTAAAACCATCCTTGTCAGCCTTATATCATTGTTACTAGGATCGTTTGTCTCAACAAAGGTGTGGAAATCTTGACCACAGCACAAAGTTAGAAATACTGATAGAAAAATCAAAGTAGACTTAGCAGTATCCATTGCAGTATCAACTCCCCACAATCTCTGTAAATGAATTCCAAGTTTTTTTCACTTGATTTCTGAAAAATTAAAGAGAATAACATAATGAATATTAATAAATATTTAATAGTTGAATACTTAAAGTTATAAATAAACAAGAATAATAAGCAGAATTTTGCCAATATTTTTCACAAAAATGAATGTTTATGATTATTTTGTTCAAATTTAACAAAAGTTATAAAATAAATACATGAAAAAATGAGCAAAATAGTGCACAAAATTTTTGCAAAACAAGTATGGTATTTAAAGTGCCTGTGAAATGGCTGCTATTTTCACGCCTAAAATTATCCATTGATACATAAATATTATTATTTTTTTATGTTTCTAAGCATGAATTATTTTTTTAAGTGAAAAAATGTGTTTTAAACTCAATCTACGGCAACTTTATTTTAGTGTATTTTAAAACGAGGCTCCTCATTAGCTTCTTATTTGCATACAGAAATTCCCCTTGTGACGTCAGAAGGGGAAGTCGCATGGCAGCTTGCATTGCCAATACGTGTAAATAAGGCAAATTTCTTCTGCAGTTTTCTTGTCTTTGACTAAATTTTCACTTATGTACTTGTTCGTCGAGGAGGAATGGACCATAATGAACACATAGTATAAATTTTTGTTGCCTGGGGTTGAGTTAGATGCAAAATATGTTCGTTCTGGTGTAGCTGGTCACCGTGATCGTCAGCAGCGCACGTTTGTACACTGTCGCTGGACAAAATAGAATTTGACGTCGGAATTATCTCGTTATTTAGCAGGTTACTAGGCACGTCACTACACTGTTTTATTTCATCGATCGTCTGACTAAAACTTTCAAAATTAAAATAAAAGAGAACATATTTTGACATTCTAAACATTAGACCATAGTGATCACTATAAAATAATTTAAAAAACGACAAATCACAGTTACTAAATAAATGACAGCCGCGTGGAAATAAATTGAAATTTTGTTGAAATAGGTGAATGTGTCGAGTCATGACGAGAGCAAGTGCGTTAAAAGCGGCGTTTAATTGGATAACAAAAATAATCGAGATCGACACACATACAGATAAATTCAGAGAGGATTCGACTTAGCGTGATCCATGGCGTGATTGTCATAATTATAACATCATATTAAAACTTTATTTGGTGGAAACACATTGACCAAGCCCGGATTCTTATTTCAGAAATTATTACGCAGATCAAGCTTCAAGCATGGAGGTGAAAAAAGAACAGAGGTGTGAATTTGACATTCAACAAAAACCACCAAACAATTCAGAAACAATTAGCCTTCGAAAATGAAAACAATTAGCAGTGTGTAAGGGCTGTGTAATTTCCTGTTTGTCCGACACTTCGTTTTCGTGTCACTGTCAAAATTATTGCTACGTTTTACTTAACAGGGACTAAATGGTCTCTATAAAACGATAATCAGGATCGCAAAAAAGTCAACTCATTTGAAACACTTGCTGGATGTCTCTCTCTCTTCTGAAATCCGCCTCGGTGATCATGGTCCGGAATCTATTTCTTTCAAAAGTGTTGCGCCAGGTTTATGTTGTCAGCGTTTCTCTTTAAACCTAGTTGTTTTTATCATGGACGAGGACAGTTTTTCCAAAAAATGAATCTGAGGTTAAGTGGCTTTCGTTCACTGATGTTGCACCTTTGGATCGATTAGAAACGTGTGAATACATACACTATGACTAAATGTTTCACTGCAACTGCCCACAACACAACATCTAAAAACTCTCTCTCTCAAAAAAGAAAAGAAAATAGACAAAAAAAGAAAGAAAAAAAACGCCGACTGAAAAATGTATATTGTTTAAAAGTATACTGAATGACCAGTGTTATTACGGCTCAGGGGTATGACTTCCTCTCACATTTTGGCATTTGGTGGCGCACTTTCGGCAAGAGTCGGAAATCCGGAAACAGTCGACCGTTTTAGGATAGGTGGGCGTGGCTACAACACGAGAAATATCCCAAATTTACTTGGATACGAGTAATCATTTTCAGCAAAAAAATCAATAACTTCAGTGGGATATAGATCTAAAATGGGAAACGTGAGGGTGGGCATTGCACAGGCACTTTAAAGGGTTTATATACAAAGTTTTTGAATTAATGGTTTAACAACGGATCCCATGTAATAATTTGCATTTCATACAGGATTTCACAGTGAACAGAAAATCACCTATGACATGTTACTACTAGTACAGGATAACCTACACAGATGTACACAGACATTTCATATTTGATTATTTTATTCCTAGTTTGAGATGTAATTCAACATGTGATTTTACAACGTGAAAATTGAATTGTAGGGTACATGTACGTGTATAAATGGAGAAGTTGTGTTTTTAAACCCAGAAGGTCACACAATGTTATCATTTACAGCATTATTCTACAATGTCAAGAAAAAAGGCTATCCGTGCCTCAGGAAAAAATTCTTTTGAAAAGTTTTACAAAATCAGTTGTTAGAATGAAGCTAAACTTGAATGATGAAAGTTTTAGCTCTAAAATGCCTGTCATCTGGCCACCTTGAATCAAAGATAGATATAACTTAACAATTACTGCACAATCTACCATCTTGGAGAGTAAATTACATATTTATGAACATACAGTTCTCATGATCAAAAGCGTAAATTTCTTCATTCTCTGCATTTCTCTGTCTAACAAAGTGTTATATTTCAGCTAAATTTTTACAAATCTTGAAAATCATACATGTTATGGTCACCCACAAATATGAAGTTTCTATAGTGATAACTCTCAAGATGATCAAAATGAATTTTTTATTGTAACCACATGTTCAGGTTTAACCAATATCTTGAAAAATATACATGTATAATGAATAAATGCGAAACATGCCAAAATCAAACTTTGACAATGTTCCAATCAGGTGAGCAGCATACCAAAGTTTGAAAAAATTGGATAAAAACTGTTTAACTTATTGTAACCACAGCAAGTCATTGAAAATGACACAGTCCCCGTTAAATTTTTGAAAGTTCCCTTTGTGCTCGTCATATTAAAGCGGAGGGGTTGTCTCTAGCATGTCCTTGAAACTTGAGTTCCAAATGGCGCATACAACAGATTGTTTATTTACATCAAAACACGCGTTTCGTGTAGTAGTAATACGGCCAAAAATAAAAACAGTCGTTATTCTACCATCTTTGATCTGATTATGAAACACACTGATATGTATGATGTATGTGCCAAATACAAATGAAAATGGTACATAAATTGTGGAAATATAGTAGTAAGGCCAAAAAGTCAGATGGCTGTCAATCGGCCATCCTTGACCAGATTTTGAAACAAATTATCATGGACATGCATCCCAACATGTATAAAGTACATGTATGTGCCAAATTTGAATGAAAATTGACACAGAGCACATCCAAGATACCGCATATAAAAATCAAAGAAAGCTTAGAAAGAACTCCCGTGTGCTGAGAGTTTTGGAGACACATTAAAAATTAATTAAAAATTACTTATACTTGAGATATTGATGGAATAGCTGAAAACTAATTATGCAAATAAGGTAACTAATACGAAAAGATTTAAGTGTAAAACTAATAAGGTCTGCACAATGTAACAAGTTTCATTGAAATGTGATTAGAACCAAAAAAATATTAATTATTATGCTAATTAGAGAATTAATATGAACAGATTTTAACCCAAAATTAATCAGACTGTTTATTGTCCTAGAGCATTTATTAATTAGGTGATTAAGAAGCATAAATATTTACCAAAAACTAATATGGTGCATAGTCTTAGGTTCATTGAAATGTGATGGGTACTCTTTAAAAGTTTCATTGAAATCCAATGAGTGGTTTTTAGACATCATAGAACAGCAAAAAATTAACTAATTATGCTAATAAGGTGATTAATATGCACAAATATTTACCCAAAAACTAATTAGGTCTCTGCACAGTCCTCAAGTAACTATGTACTAAGTTTCATTGAAACGTGATCATTACTACTCGAAATATCAAAAGCTGAAAATTAATTAATTATGCAAATTAGGTAATTAATATGTACTGATATTACCTTAAAAACTATCATGTATGTGGTGTGTCATATGACACCTATGTACCAAGTTTTATTGAAATGTTATGATTAGTACTTGAGATATCAGTGGAAAAGCCGAAAATTGATTAATCATTATGTAAATTAGGTAATTAATAATATTAACAGATTTTTACCCAAAACTAATCAAATCTGCGCATTAGTTCAGAGCATCCATGTGCCAAGTTTCATTGAAATCCAATGAGTGGTTCTTCAAAAATCAGTGGAACAGTCATAGAACAGCTTAAAATCAGTTAATTATCATGTAAATTAGGTAATTAATATTCATAGATTTTTACCAAAACCTAATCAACTCTGCGCATTATCCCAGAGCATCTATGTACCAAGTTTCACCAAAATTTGATTAGTGGTTCTTGAGATAACGGTGGAACAAAAAAAGTGACATACATACATACAGACAGGGTAATTGCAAAGACTCCCTTTTGTGCTTCGCACACGGGAGTCAAAAACGTGCTTGAAATTTTTGATTTTCGGAGAGGAAAAAAAACTTAATGTAAAAAATAGAAATACGGATTTAAACTTCATGACCCTTGCTTCAAAACAGTGTAAAGTTTTTGGCCGCATGCATGGCCTTAGAGCTGACATTTTAAAATGTATTCACGTTAGTTAATTATCAGCCGCGCCGATTTTCAGAATCACGTGATGCTAAAACAAACACAATGTTCACAAAATATTAATAATAGAAAAAAAAGTACAAGTCAAGGGCTTTCCAAACATATATAGATTGTATGGTTTCTTGTAAAATTTATTCTGATAATAGTTGTTTACATTTTCCATGCAAAAAAACTATCCTGCTACCTTAAAAGTTTTTTCATAGAAATCCATGATAAAACATTATTTCACACACAATTGATACTATAATAATATTAATTAATTTCCAATAGGATATGTGCTACAACATGCCCACAATTATGGCATGT